TGTAGCTTGGTTCTGACAATAGTAAGGCTCACTAACGCTGCATGCGAGACGTCATAACAGGTACCAAGTCCATGGACGGGAGTTATGATGACTAATATAGCCGAGGACTTCGGACAAGTTGCATCCAACTGAGTGATCCTGACAAAACGACCAAGCTGCGAAAGCAAAGTCAGACGAATTCTACTATTTATTAGTTTTTTATTTGTGATTTCTATAACTTTAGTTCTCTATATCATACATAAATCAGCAGTAGCATCATTATCATATCAATATTCGCCATGTTCCGTTGAGCCGAAGACATTAACACAATCTTCGTTTGCTTTTACTGCCAATTTTTCTTATTCATATTTAAATCTCATTAATCTGCACAAAATTTTGCTTCCATTCATTCTAGGACGGAAAAAGTGTGACGTGCTTTCTGATTTAACGGCGCGCACAGATATCGTCATGTTCCATGGACAGTCAAACTTACAGCGAAAAATTTACCGCTCCCTACTTACTAAAAATTCTAGTAAGCATTATTTGTCTCTTGAGCGAATATAACCTTCTCTTATATTGATGACAATCTAAAAGTAAATTCCATAAGTATCTAAAATATTTAAAGGGTTTGACTATTTTTTCTAAGCTATTAATTGCTATGTTTTTGATTTGCAGTTTTAACGCCACTTCATACATCGAAGTTATATTACCTAATTCTCTTCGCTCTTTCCACAAGCTCTTCTCTTATTTGCGATCCATTAAAGAGATACAAAACCTTTAAACATCTAAGTGTTCTTATTTTTATCAATTCTTTTAAATTTTTTACATCTATCTTTTAAGTACTCCCTCATACTCACTTACCGCTAAAATATAATATATCTTTTTCATCAAACAGGTATATACGAGACATTCTACACTTTATTATTTTATAGATAAACTGGTAATTTTCTTGGTTTTTACTCACTGGTAACATAAATGTTACTTCGATTGCACTTCGGCCAAGATCATCGCTATCTTTTCTTTGTCTTTATACTTATTTCAGATAGAGATATACTAAATCCTCATACATAAATAAATGTATATGCATATATATATATTGAGAGCAAGTTTCAGAGAGTATATAAGAATAAAGGTTATGTTTCGATTAATATCTTGGCTTACAATTGTTGAGTTTTCCTACTTTTCGACTAAAGTTTATGAGTAAGAGGATGATATATTTATCTTGGAAAACTTTTTCATTTATTTATTGAAACGTTCTAACTGGTGTTGTTACCAAAGTGATCTCCTACAATTTCAAAGAAAATATGGTTTCTTTTGGTCGTCATCTAACAAGCAGCATCAGAGGATAATATGAGACATCTGCTGGCACCGATACTACAATCACGGCCAATAGGCTCCTTAATATGGTTGTCCAGCTGCGAAAGTGTATAAATCATCCCTATCTTTTCTGGGGTAAATTCAGCACAGTACAGTGCACTATTTTAAACAATAGTAAATTATTTATGAGACGTATTTACTCTATTTTGTTTAAATTGATAAATAATTGGTAGTTGAATTAGTCCAAAATGTTGTTAATAGAGCTGACGTTTTCATTAACTTTCACATATGCTTGCTTCCCGAAAGGTATTCTCATCGAGGGTGTATGGCAGTTTTAACCTTGCCTAGGTCTTATCATCACCCATAGTAGGAGTCGAAATGTGACAATTCAGGGTATAATCTCAGCACGTTAACCATTACGCCACATCGTCACGAATACCCCAAACATTTTCTCATGCCACATTCTGTGGTTGGATTTTCGATGAAGCAAAGTTATTATTCGTTATAGCAATCGGCTAGATTACTTTTTTTGTTTGTAAATAGGGTTTCTAGACTACCAGTAAATTCACTGTATGAGATGCGCTTGCCATATTTCGTTTAATGTGATGAAACCTTACTTACAAACGAAAAATAAGTATTTTAGTTCATTGTTGATGACAATCCCACCTCAGAATATGGCATGGGAAAATGTTTGCTATTCCTAAAAATTCACATATACCCTCTGACTTAAGGCACTCATAATAATGTGGCGTAGTGGTTAACGTGTTGAGATTATACGCTGCACTGTCATGGTTCGAGTCCTGCTGAGGGTGCTGATATGATCTATGCAAGGTCGAAACTGCAGTCAACCCTGGATGAGAATACCTTCTAGAAAGCAAGACTCTGTGAAATTCAATGAAGACATAAGGTCTAGTCATTATTGTGTAAAAATTCAACTACTGGTCCTCCATCACCTCAAAATAAATAAGGTAAACACATCTCATATATCTGATTTGCTGGTAGTCTCGATACCCTACCTACAAATGAATAATAGTGAATTATATTTTTGCACAATAAATTTAGACAATTTCCGGTCCTCAAAAAACGCTAAATAGTGCTTAAATCTGTCATTGTCCAATTTATATTATATCATCGTCTTTAATATTACCCTTAATATGCAATACTCTTATATTGTTTTAAATTTATTACCTTACATTGTTAATATATAAAATAATTTAATTAATCATATTATATTCGAATGACTTGTTTATGCAACGATTAAATTGACTATTGGTAATTTTTTCGCGTAAACTTAGTCTTAGTCCACTTGTTCGGCTTATTCGAAAATGGATCTTCTCCGGTCCACTATTTCATTACTTCCATCATTCTCCCGTAAAACGCATGAATCATTGTCACTGTCATCTACCTCGCGAAATATACACTTAAAAGATTATCAAATATTAGGTGTAGACTGGCTTTGCTTTTGTTATGAGTGTCGGCATGGTGGAATGTTGTGTGATGAAATGGGTCTCGGGAAAACTATTCAGGTTAGTTTGCTGCTTGTCATATTAGTAGACGATTAAGTTCATAGAATGCATTCTTGATCTAAACCGATCTTCAAAAATACTAATTGTTTGTCCTTTATCCTTGCTTGAACATTGGTCTACTGAATTCTCAAAGTAGTCCCACATTCATTATTATGTTAGGTTTGCTCCGCTTCTATCTTGCAAGGTATATATGGGAAATAAAGATGAGCGGGCCAAATTAAGATCTGCGCTTGTCGCTTCAACATTTTCTGTTCTTATAACTTCATACGAAGTATGATATTGCGTTGTAATTCCTCTAGGCCTGCCTCAATGACGAGCTATTCTTTGCTAGGTTTTCTTGGTCTTTACTAATTGTCGATGAAGGTCATCGATTGAAAAATTCTTCCTCTCTTCTATACCAAATGCTGTCTCAGGTAAACCTTTCCTATATTTTCCCCTTTATAATTGTGCCCTTTCGTTATTCACCATTAACTTATAATCTAGAATATAAAAGGATTTCGATTTATCTTAACTGGGACACCCATTCAAAATAATCTAGATGAGTTGTATAATCTGCTGCATTTTGTTGCTCCAAAGATATTCCTAATGGAAACTAAAGCTGAATTCATTAAAATTTATTCACGGATCGACTCTGGTTAGTTTTTTAATGTTGCATATATCGTTTTAATTGATTTAAATATGTTTGCAAATAGTTAATCGATTTATTCTTATTTTTTATTTATTTTACGCTCAGCCGTAATCTACGTTACTTTTGGATGGTATTATTTGCATATATATATATATATCTCAGTTTATTTTTCGTTTTATTGAAATTTAATTTATTAATATATTTTAACTATGTTTTATCATTTTTGAGGGCATTATATGGCTCCTTTATGTTG